CTGTGGCAACCGTGTGTGGTAACTCAGAAGATCTTAGATCTAAGTAACGGTAGCAACGGAGGTGGTAACATTGAAAAAGAGCTAGCCAACAATTTGCGTTTAGATGTAAGTGAAAATGATCTCTATAAAATGGAATATAAAATAAAAAAATATAGGATAATAAAAGGTTTTGTTTTGTTGTTTATTGTTGTTGTTATGATTTTAGATCTAAAATAATTATCATATTTAATTTGTTGAACGAATTGATTTTTATTATATGTAGGGAAATGAATTGGTCGAAGTTCATGAAAGAGTTGATTAAGAAATGAATATGAGTGAAGACAAAGGAAAAGCCATCTTCGGCCTTAACAAATCTATGTGGCCAAAAAGATTGAACCGATTTTAAACATATTTGAGGTTAACATTTGTCATTGACAAGTTCTTTGGTTCAATTGAAAGTGGAGATTGATATTGATCATTTTTTTTTGTCTGTTTTTGGTATGTTGGTAGGAAGTGGAGACATACTAAAGAATTGTGAGCATTCTTAGATACGGAAGCAACGTTTATTGGATATGTGGCATTATTGACAAGGTTAGTGATTATTGAATGACGATAGAGGTTAATATATATATATATATATATACATGATTACAATATTTTTTAAAACTGGATTGAAAGAAACAGTATAAACGTTTTGATCATGGTTCAATCTAGTTTGACTTTAAATCAACAAAATAGTGTCAATCAAGAGAAGAAAATATCAACCAAACAAATTTTATCTCTTAAAGAAAATCTCAGGAATGCATTGATATGAGAATAATATAATAACCCCAAAATTTAAAATATACAATATCATGATTGCAAAGTCGATCATAAATTCTTAGTGATAGTCGCTCTTTTGGCAACATATCAAATATTTTGGTGAGAATTAGTAAACAGAATTACAAAATGATTTGAGAGTGAAAGTGTAACTTTGAAAAACACATGCCAATGTAGAGTCATGGCACGAGAACACCGGAGATATCAGAATTCTCGAACAAGGTAGAGAGCCAGGGAGACGTGGTAGGTTATTCAAGTTCCAACCAGAAGCTATGGTTTTATCCATCTCACTTCTTCCGGTTTTCATTTCCACTCTTTTGTAAAATCCGCTTCCGAGAACCTGGTTCTCCAAATCAGCTCCATAATATACCTTCAATGGGGCATCGTATAAAATAACTGTAATACAAACAAATCTGCTTTTTTGTCGTTATTAATCAGTTAAACACAAAGCAGATTGGTTTGTAGTAACAGTTTTTCTTTATTCGTTGTTGCAAGTATATTATGTAGTTGATTTAGATAACCGAGTTCTTGGAAGTGGATTTTAAAATAGAGGAGACATGTTAACCGGAAAAAGAGATATGGATCATTACAATGTTTCAGCTGGTTGAAACTTGAAGAACATACCACGTCTCACTGGCTTTTTACTCTCATTTGAGGATCGTGATATTTTTGGTGTTCTAGTGTCCTGGCTCCATGTTGGGATGTGTTTTTTAACGTTTTGTTGGGTAACGTTACACTCTCATTGTCTAAATCATTTGTAATATTATTTGCCAATTTCACAAACATGTTTGATGTTTTGATTGTATTCACAGCCTTTGTTGTTGTGTAGTTGTCATCATGCCAACAGAACTTGGAGTAGAAGCAGCACGCCACTGATAACAGATTCTTCTAAGTTGTATCAAAGAAAATCTAATGAATTTTTAAGATGCCACTTATATGCATGAAAATTGTGTTAACATATAAAACCGTTAATTCCTTATCACCTTTTAAGACTAGAACAACTGTATATTAGTTAACCAACGATCAATGAGAATGCAAAATACATTAATGAACTTTCTAGAAAAATCACATCCCTATTTATCATAACAGAACAACAATAATGATCGTTTTATCGCTTCATTGATTCTGAAAGCGTCCGAAAGCGTCACTGCTTTTGTTGATGTCAATGGAGTCATTGATTTTGCTTCCATGTTTTTTTTTATCCTTTTTAGCCATGGGACCAAACTTTATGATCTACTTAATGTAACTCCTAAAAAATTTCATTTAATGAAATATTAACATTCTTAGCAAAAAAAAAAAAAAACAACAACAACAATAATGATTCATAGATATTTACCTTTAAAGTTTCTAAATAATTAACTAAAACAGAAAAATAACGATTTTTAATTCTTTTAACGATTATTTTTCTCTTATTCTTATTTAGGTAGTTATTTAAAAATTTTAAAGTTTAGTATTTATGAATCAATATTGTTGTTCTATTATGAAAAAGGGATGATCTTTTCTAGAAAGTCCACTGAATATTTTGCATTCTCAGTGGCTGATGTTAAGTGGAGATTGATATTGATCATTTTTTTGTCTGTTTTTTGTTTTTTGGTAGGCATTGGAGACATACTAAAGAATTGTGAGCATTATTGACAAGGAAGCAAAATTTATTGGAGATGTGGCATTATTGACAAGGTTAGTGATTAATGAATAGAAGTTCATATATATATAGCAAACAATACAAACGTTTGGATCATGGTTCAATCTAGTCTGACTTTAAATCAACAAAATAGTGTCAATCAAGAGAAGAAAATATCAACCAAACAAATTTTATAACTTGAAAATAATCTCAGGAATGCATTGAAATGAGAATGATAACTCCAAAATTTAAAAGATACAATATCATGATTTCAATGTCGATTGTCTAGAGTCCTTCTAGCAAGCTGTTAATCCTTAGTGATAGTCGCTCTTTTGGCATGTACTATACACAAATTTGTATCTTCAAAAAATTCAACAAAATATGCTTCAGCATTTTCTTGAAATGTCTCAACAACACTTCTGAAATCGTAAAGTTGTCATGATATCTCTTTCACTAGTTTCTGGAATGGAAATTTTCTTAATTATCATCAGTTTTGTGCTTTTTATGGTATTTTCTGATCTCTGCATGCATGTATTTTTGTAGTATTATAACTATTTTCTTTTCCATAATTTATTATTTCCTACCTTCGTCACTAAGTCAATTTGGAAAATGAAATAGTTAAAGTGTCAAACAAATACATGCTAGAAACAATGGCACTAAGATTGATCCGAAAATATTATAAAAGCATGAAGTGAAAGATAAAAAAAATTTCATTCCAGCACTAGTGAGAGATATATTAATGACTGATTTATGATTCCAGAACAGCGTTGTTGAGGCTCTCCAAGTACTTGTTAAAGCTTATTTTGTTGAGTTGTTTAACGATACAAATTGAGTAGTAAACGTCAAAAGAGGAATTATCTAGTTGAAATCATGATATTGTGTTCTGCTGAGGCTTCTTTCCACCAGTAATCTAAAATGGAAATCAGATACAAGCCAACAATTAGTTAATAACCCATCAAAAGCGAAAGGACTTATGCTAGTCTCATTTAAAATCAATAGTTTGGGACCAAAACTTCCAATTTCTAAAAATGCAATTACAAAAAATAAAATTATGGCCCGATTCGCGACTAGAAAATTAGTGGTGGCAACAGATTTTGAGGTGGTATGAAAGTTAGTTGTCCAAAACGAAATGTTAAAAGAGAATATGGAATAGTCAGAAGCGGTAAGAGATTACAATATGAACATATATTTTGATTGGTAATAATGTGACTACAAACAATAAATGATAATAAAAAAATTTAAAAATCAATTTTAAATATATAAGTACTTATATATATATCATTAAAATAAAAAAAAAGTATTAAAAATATGTGTATTATCTAAATAAAAGTAACGCTACTTTATAAGAATTAAAGATTTTCTAAAAAAATCTAATAAGATAAGAAATTAATCTAAACATCCAATGAGATTTCAAATACGAGGCGAAAAATATCATTTACATTATCTAAGTAAAATTAGCGTTTTTTATTTTGTACAACCTTATTTTAATACGTCAACTTGTACTATTCAAATACAAAGAAAGTAAATCATTTGCTGATTAAAACAAAAAACAAAAAAAAAACACTTACGATTTGGTAAATTTGATGGTCATCGCAACAAATCACGACATTTTTAAGCTCCATTAGAATTGAAACAATTAATCCACTAATCAGTGCTTGAATCTCTACTTCTTCGTAAAGTAGTTTCATGGTTGTTTAGTGCCAATATTTTCTCCGTAAAGTATTTTTTTCCAAAATTTGAAGCATAATATAGGCACTAAACAACCATGGAAAAACATTATCTAAATTTTATTTCCAAAAAACGGGCGGATAGATTATGTTACAATCGAAGATATCCCAAACCTTAAAGGACAATCTCGTCATTCAGGTCATGTTTGGGATATCTTCGATTGTCGCATAATCTATCCGCCGTTTTTTGGAAATCAAATGTAGATCATGTTTTTCCATGGTTGTTTAGTTCCTATATTATGCTTCCAATTTTGAAAAATATACTTTACGGAAAAATTATAGGTACTAAACAAGCATAGAAATACTTTACGAAGAAGTAGAGATTAAAGCAATGATTAAAGTGGGCTAATTGTTTCAATTCAAATGGAGCTTAAAAATATTGTGATTTGCGGCGATGACCATCAAATTTACTAAATTGTAAGTGTTTTTTTCTTTGTTATTTTTTTTATCAGCAAATGATTTACTTTCTGTGTATTTGAATAGTACAAGTTGACGTAGTAAAATGAGGTTGTACAAAATAAAAATAACGCTAATTTTACTTAGATAATGTAAATAATATTTTTACCCTCGTATTTGAAATCTCATTAGATGTTTAGATTCATTTTTTATCTTATTAGATTTTTTAGAAAATCTTTAATTCTTATAAAGTAACGTTACTTTTACTTACATAATACACATAATTTTTTAATACTTTTTTTTTATTTTAGTGATATATATATATATATATATGTATATATAATTGATTTTTAATTTTTTTACTTAAAAATAAGTAACTTTCAGTTTAGTCTCCTCAACTAGATGCCCTGATTCTTTCCTAAACTGCAAAGTTTTTCATAGAAAACAAAACAAATGCTTTAAGGAACCAAAACCAAAGTGTGATTATCCATCAAATCAATAATGTGAATGATCAGTACCGTCTCACGAGTAACTTCTTTGGCTGTGACTGCAGGACTAGCTATTACACTTTGAATCATAAACTTTTCATTGCTCTGCATATCAGAATTAAGAACTTCCTTTTGGGCTTGCATTGTCACTAGACAAACACCAAAAAAGATTCATCAAATTCCTAATACAAGAACCAGTTTAGCAGCTGAAGCAAAAAAAATGTTTCCCCAAAAAAAAGATTAGAGAACGGACCAAGAACTTTACAAGTTGACTTTGGAAGAATTAGTCCATAATTAGACCTAACGCAATAATTTTTCGGATTTTTCGTCTTAACCTTAAATTAAAAGAAAAAAGAAACAACCCCTAGAAGCCTTAGAAACACAAGAGATAATCAACAACAAGTTAACGATTCCGAAAACTTCTTACCTTAAAGGCCCCATTATTGTCTGTCTTGTTCGTCAAGTTAAGAGAGCAAGACATCTGCTTCTTCAATTCAACTACATCAACTCAGCGAAGTAAATAGTGAAATTTAATATTAAACAACAATCTGGTTATGGGACAAGAAAGACATGCAAAGCAAAATCATGGAGGAAAAAAAAGAGTCAAAATATAAGCTTACAAGGGAATTGAAGGTACATAGGCTCGATTTTGAGAAGCTCGTTGTTACCATCTCCATAAGATCGCCGGAGATTCAAGCTAGGTAAATAAGATTTGATCCATTTTTGGAGAAGAATGATAAAAAGTAGTGATGTCACTTACTCACTTAGCAAAAATGAATAAAATGGTGCATTATATATGTAACGCATCATCTCTTTACGATGCTCTTGAGAGAAGATTTCATCTAGATGACCAGTGATATATAAGCATATATTACCTGATATGTTTTTGCATCATATTGATTATTTTCTTCTCACATCAACTTTACCAAAAAAAAAATACGATTTAATTAAGAGAGTAGTGAAATATAGCTCACAAAAGGGGCAATAAAAAACATGCAACCAGAATTTTCAGCAGAAAAATGTCCACCATCAGCCTGCAACGCCGTCATATAGAGTAACCCTCTTCGTACGTTATTTTCTCTGCATTCTCTACTCTCACTCGTGGAATTTTCTTTCCCTTAGAAACTTTTAGATAAATATACAAAAACAAAAAGTAATATTCTGGCCAATTTAATTAATTAACAAAAATTAATGCTAGATTTTAAGGTTTTTACCTGCATACGCCAAAGGAGATCCGCACTGGCTTTGAAACTTGATCGGTTGTTTGCGAAATTCCGTCGAGCCTCCTCAACCTTGGAAAGTTCCTCTACAGAGCCTGCTTTAGCATGAAACTCCCAAATCTGCCTTCCAAGGTAGTTGTTGGTGCTGAAAAAATGAGGGTCTTGTCCTGCCTCAGCTCCGATCCTAAGCCTCCACATTTTGGATGATTGGATCAATCCTACTAGCTACAAAGAACAAGTTCTTAATTAATTTTATATATATACACGTTTTTGTTAGGATTTTTATGTTTGTATCAATCTCTTCCCTGCAGCGAGAATCTGATAATCTTAATTCTTAAGCATCAGCCTGTCTTTTATCTGATTATCATGTTATGGAGGAATCTTTTATCTGATTATCATGTTATGGAGGAACAACCCATCAGTTTCTAATCATATACTATAGATTATATCATAGGTACACAATGTCAAAATTTATGAGATATTATTATATCAAAATCAAATGGTAATGAAAGGAATGATTCAGATATACGTAGGGGTATCAAAATGGTTAACCCAACTCAACCCAACTCAACTCAAAAAGATTAGAGAACGGACCAAGAACTTTACAAGTTGACTTTGGAAGAATTAGTCCATAATTAGACCTAACGCAATAATTTTCCGGATTTTTCGTCTTAACCTTAAATTAAAAGAAAAAAGAAACAACCCCTAGAAGCCTTAGAAACACAAGAGATAATCAACAACAAGTTAACGATTTTGAGAAGCTCGTTATTACTCATCTCGATAAGTACACCGGAGATTCGAACTTTTCCCGGCTATTATATTCGGAGAAAGGTAGAAAGAGATCCAATGAAGAGAGTCGGGACATAGCTATTTGTCTTCTTACGACAAATGGTAAAAATTGTCTGTTTCAACTAAAAGTGATCATTCTTTGTAGAATAATCAGCTAAACCATTAGTTACGCTACTATTATTTTTATTAAACTTTGCAAATTAAAATCTTTACGTTTTTTTAATTCTCCTTCCGAATCCACTAGGTACCTTCTTGCGCAAGAATGAATTTGTTTTTAATAAAATATTTTAATGGTAAAAATTTGTTTTTCATTCTCCTTCCGGTAAACTGTGGACTAGATTAACGGTATATAAATTTTAAAGGAAAAAAGATATTCAACTACACAAAGTATAATGGAATACATGGTTACACATGCCAAATTTAGAAATATACAACTAACTACACGAACTAGATGTATTGCATGCTCACATATACCAATTATATGATGCCATGTGGTCAACATGACGAACATCTTATTCTGGTACACTAATCATCGAAATTCGGCGTTAACCATCGATGACCAGCGTTAACCAACAAAAATATTCAAAAAAATTAGTTTTATTTGTTTTAATATTCTATTGAATCTTTTATGATACTGTATAATTAAAGAAGAAAATACATTCTATATTCAACATAAAGAAATTTTGTATTAATACATTGATTATTATAATTAGAATAATTCTTTTAAAATAAATATAAATATTTTTTGAATATTTTTGTTGGTCAATGCCGGTCAATGCCAGATTTTGATGATTGGTGTACCAGAATAAAATGTTTGTGATGTTGACCACATGTCGTCATATAGTTGGTATATGTGAGCATGCAATATATTTAGTTCGTGTAGTTAGTTGTACATTTCTAAACTTGGCATGTATAGTCATGTATTCCGTTATACTTCGTATAGCTCGATATCTTTTTTACAATTTTAAACGTAGATATACACTAATTTTTAATTTAAATGTTAAACAGTGAATTTTTCTGGGATCCGATATCAATGTATTAGTAGGGAGTAAAAATTTTTAGTAAAAAAAAAAAACGGTTTTGATTGATAATTTGTATTGCTTTGAACTATTCGGGTATTGTTTACGTTTTCTCTGCTTGTTTACACCTTTGTATAATCTATGGAAGCAATTAAATACTTATGTGCTCTGACTTGACATACACTCATTAATGGATACAAGAAAAAAACAATTAAAGCCGACTTAAACAAAAATAAATGGTCTCGTACTCTCCACCACAATTTGGAAGGACAGTATATAGTAGCGTGTTTTAATTTAACTTAATTATGTAAATGCTTTATATTTCTTATTTTTAAATCAGAAAATGCCTTATATTTCAAAAAATGTGATTATATATATTTTTAACTATATAAACGCAAATTCAAATTAAGAAAAATTTTAACTACATAAACGCTTTTGATAAGTAGGAGGACTACAACCCAAAAACGCATGGTAAATTGAGAAAGAAGAAGCAATGGTCTTCCAAGGCTTGTATTAAAACCAGAGAACCAAATTAAAAATTTACCTTCTCGAAAACCTGATTATCTGGACATTTCATAGCCAAGGGGGAGCTGCAGCTTCAGCCTCTAAACTAGAAGGTAGAAGTGGATAGGCCTTTGCTCCAACCCACCTTGCTTTCCCTGTTTAATCCCTTAGAATCCACCCAATACTGCACCGCTTCTAATCTGCTTTCCACGTCACTTCGACATTACATTTGAAATGGCCTACCCACTTGATTGAAGGTGAAATGACAACAGACTTGGCTGCATCAAGGGTATTGGGTGACACTCATTCAATTCCTTAAGTTCTAATTGTGCCCTTCTTTGATAAATTGGAGGGAATTTTCTAAAATGTCAACAAACTAAATTATCTATAATCACAAAGGACATTTTTTCATGAAATCTCGTTATTGATGGACTTCATGGTGGACTTAAAACTGACATTATTATACAAGACTATGGTTAGGTTGATTAGGGTACAATTAAAATGTTTAAATTAATTAGTTTTAGTGTTTTCCTTTTTACATTACGTTAAGGTTTTGGTGATTTTACCCGACCCGGCCCAAGGTAAATTGCTGCCTAAAGCAAACAAAATTTTTGGTCCATCCTTATACATAATTAAAACAAAATTTATAAAAATAGTACTCTTAAAGGACTCGAACTCAGCAACTTTGATGAGAGAGTGGAGATATTAACCACTATACCACAATAAATGTTTTTAAAATGATGCCCATAAATTCTTTTATAGACATTTGATGCCTAAAGCCCATGCTTTACGGGCTTTAGTCTTGGGCCGGCCCTGGATTTTACTTTCAATTTAGTTGTACCAACTACCAAGGTCTATAAAATAGACCTCTTATGATTAATAAAATATCAACTTCCAAAAATTAACCTTATATAATCTACAAGAATGACTAGAGTTACGAGGAATGTAGCCTTAATCTCTTTTTTATTTCTCACGATAACAAAGAATATGATTACGAGTTTGAAATCTAAAGCTTTGGCTCGTATAGTTCAAAGTTCAACATGCGAGATTAAAATAAACTTTAGAGAGTATAGTTTCAAACTAACTTGGGCGGAATCACGCTTTACCTGATGTCATGTACTTTTTCAAATCATGTAAAAGTACTCCCACCCCAAAAAAGGATGATATTCTCAAAGCCATAGACGTAACCTATAGCGTCAAAACAACAATTTTGATGGATTTAATGAAGTTATGCAACTATACAAATGATGATTGTTTTTTCCAATAACTCATATGGCTAAGATCAAAGGTTAAGAAGATGGCAAAGAAACCATCATTGTTAAACTAATACAGGCCAATTTGTTCGAGGAATATATATATATATATATAAGGATTGTCGCAATGCTCGATAGATATAGATATATATTTATTTATTACATATGCATTGTAGTCAACTAATTAAGATAGAGTCTAATTTTACTATAAGGAAGAAAAATTTAAATAATACACATACGATATACAGTTAAACTTCTATAAATTAATAATGTCCAGACTAAAATAGTTTATTAATTTATAAAAGTATTAATATATGAATAAATTAATAATTTTTAATTTCTTGAAAGATTTGATTTATTTACA